AGGGGCGGCAGAAGCGCCGGCGCTGGGGGTGGGAGCAGGTCGAGCTCGGAGCGGGCCCGTGTGCGGCCCCCGCGGGGGCTTCGCCGTGTCTCTGCCGGGGACGATCGCGGCCTGGGGAGTTGGCCCCTCCCGGCCCGGCTGACGGGGTCTGCGCCCCCCGGAGCCCCAGGGAACCCTTTTGGGGCAGGAACGTGGGAATTCAGGACCCAGTTGGTTCACCTGGATAAAGCGGGTGGGAGAGGCTCCCCACGAGCCAGGGGCAGCTCTTCTCGTCGCTGTTTTACCCTCAGCTGTCACCTGTCCTCCCTGAAAAACACCCCCAGACCCTCCTGTGTTCCTTGGCAGCTGCGAGGGATGATGAAGAAGCCGCTCGAGGCCCCGTGCCTGTAAGCAGGAGTTCCTGCGGTGCTGCCGGATCCTGGCTGGCAGGAGCAGAGGTCCTGGGCCGCAGTGTTCTACCTGCGAGACCCTTCAGGTCGGGGGCTGGAAGGAGCAAACCAGCCGTATCGGGTTGTCACCGCTGTTGCAGTGAGGGCTCATCAACAACGTGTGATGTTACCCATGCTGAGTAACTTGTTCAGCGCTGTGGCCCGTGGATCAGCAAAGGCTGGGCACTGTGGCTTGAAAAAGCTTTTTGCTGCTTCTCCAGTGGGCTGCTGCCTTCTGTCATGACTGAGAAGATTAAGGGATGTAATTTCAAAGCTCTCTTTCTGGGAAAGCGTCTCTGTCCTAGATGGAGAATAGACTGAGTGCTCAAGTTGACAAGACTATACTGACTTAATTGAATTTAGGATTAGATCTTGGGTTTGCTTAGACGTGACCCCTCTGTCTATCCTACATTTACTCTCATTGGGGACTGTACAATTATTTGATCTTCCCAGAGACTCAAATCAAAGCGTCGGAGCCCTGGTGCCCCTGAAGCTGGTGTGAGTTATTCCATTTTGTCTAGTGGGGCTGTGCTTTCAGCCCAGGCCTTGAAAAGGCTTTAAATGCTTCCCTGGTAGAAAAAATTATCATAGTTATTGGGCTGCTATTTCTGCAGCAGCGGTATTGTCAGGCCCTGATAAGTAAGCACTTAATTAGATGCTTAACTTCATTCATCGATGATAACTCAGCTACGTGCGTGGGTGTAAGTGTAGGCAGGTTTCTTACAGTAATTTTTTTTAATGGAAGCACTTCTAATTATCACACCCAAGATTGAAATGTAATGTTTTGGAACAAATCTGGTGGATAAGCCCAAAACTGAGCCTTTTTACCTAGCTGATTTTTATTTCCCCCCCAAGGTGTAGTTCTAAGGCAATCCCAAGAACCCAAGGAGCTGTGGGGATATGTGCAAGTTCGAAGTAAGGCCCACATGTTTTGGTGGCTCTACTATGCAAATAACCCAACAAAAGACTTCACAGAATTACCTCTCATCTTGTGGCTTCAGGTAAGTTTGGTGAAAACCACTTAAGGGATAGTTCTTTCCACATGTGCCTGGTTCAGTCTGATAGATATCTTTGAGCTCTACAGAATCAGGGTTCAAAATTGTCTGATTCTAAATGATTCACCTGGTAAATGAAGTATTCAGGTTAGGAAGAAATAATGAAAATATCATTCTGTAATTGTGGGGTATCCTCAACTGCTCACCTTCCATCAAGGTAAATTACAGAAGTAGAGGTGGTTCTTACTTTTTACACAACAGTAGTGCTTTTTGTGCCAGACACTACAAGTACATGGTGGTGTCACAGCTCCTTTCCTGAAGAGCTTACAGTCTAAACAGTGTTCAGAGAGAGAGTAGATAAAATAATCAGATATTTGGAAAGATTTCTAAATGTAAACAAGACTCTCATTGTTTAGACATCGGTCCCATTCAATCACAGTTTGATAAAAGGTGGTGGTGTGTGCTCCACATTCACCTCCAGCAGTATGTTTCAGAACTTAATGTGGAATATAATCACCGGATGACTTGGTCTTTTTCTTTCTGGCTTGTTTCTTCAGAGTGAAATGCACATGCTGTACATGCTGATAAAATTAATGACTTGCAAACCTCTGTAGATAGCTAACTTCTGCATTTGGTATTAAGGGAATAAGGGGAAGGGTTTTCAAACTGCACTTATGTAGCATGCAACTTATTAGATGCTTTCACAGTGGGTGATTGCTTCTCTGTTTAAATTCTTGCTTTCAGAAATGGCATGTGTACAATAATGAAAGACAATGAGGAAGAGAGCCTGCTTTGCAAATTAACATGTAGTGCAAAAGCCATTTGTTTAAAATTTACCATCTGTCTTTCTACTTACTGGCTTGCTTTTATTTTTCTCCTGTCTGTCATATCTATACCATGCTGCTTTTTTACTTATTTGTCATTTGGTATTTCTTCACAGGGAGGTCCAGGAGCTTCAGGCTGTGGATTTGGGAACTTTGAAGAGATTGGTCCATTAGACAAAGAGATGAAACCAAGAAATACAACCTGGGTATAGTAGAGAGTTCAGATTCTAATTACTGATTGCAAATATTTGTTGCTTGTGTAAGCAGACGATTGCTGTGCAAAAATGCACAGAACAGTATTCATTTAAAGTTCAACAGAACTATAATCTTTCATCTTAAAATAGTATGGCTAATAAATCAGTTTATAGGAATAACCTTGTTAAGAACTGAAGAATAGACCAGTTGATTTGATGGAATATGCCTGGGCTTCCATGAACTTGTGAATTGCAGGTGTCTGGGAAGCTGAGAGCGGGGAAGTTCTAGAAGGATGTTATTTCAGATCACAGCTGCATTGCGTACAGTCGTGGAGGTTTTTCTGGATGGCAGGCAATGTATAACCAATGGCTCGTAATTCTGAGTCCAGTGTGGCCTTCAAGGGAAAACAAATTACAGCTGCCTATGAAGGTGGAAGTTTATTCAATGAAATGCGTTTGTGCTCTGAGCTACCGGTAGTCTAACTGCTCTGGAGTTCCCTAGACCATATGGGTGACCTGCCCTTGGATCCCTGGGATTTTTTGGATGCCTTTCTTGTTGCAGATTGAGCAAATTGAAAGACCTTATGTTGTACTTCCTTATTTGTGAGCCTCACTGCTTTGAGCTGTGCTAGCTGTTTGCTGATCTACGGATTTTATTTATACGCTTGTCACTGTACAACTGTAGCATCTGCTATAACAATTTAACAAAAGCCCAGCAACCCAAAAGAAAAACCCTCTGATTTTACCTTCAGACAGACAAGTATAACCTGTACCATTCTCTCTTTTGGACTTGCACTTAATTTTTCTGCGAGTTCTTTCGGGGCCAGAGATTTGGTGGCTCGGTTAATCATTTATGCCATCAGAACTAAGGTTTTCACTGGTGCTGAACTGAGATCTCATACAAACCTTCTTTCTGCTTGTACAGTTGCAGGCAGCTAGTATCTTGTTTGTGGATAATCCTGTGGGCGCTGGATTCAGTTATGTGGATGATTGTAGCTTGTTTGCCAAAAACCTTACCACAGTAGTTTCTGATATGATGGTTTTTCTTGGAGAATTCTTCACATGTAGGACAGAATTCCAGGTAAGTTAATTGAATTTGTGGTTAGAATCATATTTTTCTTTGCTTTTAAACAGATCTCAAAAAGAATTAGTGAATAGACTTCCAGGTGGGCAGCATTTGCCACTAGGTAGCATGCATTTGGTGGGAGTCAGTGCAGGTATAACCACTGCCTCATATTTCCCACAATTCAGAAGTTGTAACTTGAATTTGATGCTAGTTAAACAATAATCCATCCCATCGCTTTTATCTTATGATCCGAGAGGCATATAGGATCATGGCTGTTTCTGGTTCCAAAATACTGATGTGTCTGCTTCAAAACTTCCCCAGTAATTACACCAGGATGTTACAGAAATCTTATCTTCAGTTTAGAATCAGAAAAATATTCAGTGTTTGAAAGCAAGAGATGAACAGGTAGCGCCTGGGTTCTGTGGCATGTGGGAGATGGTTGGAGGTTTCGTCTGTCCTCTGCCTAACGGGTTCACTGTGGGGCTTCTCTCTCTCCAGACCATCCCATTCTACATATTTTCTGAATCTTATGGAGGTAAAATGGCTGCTGGGATTGCTTTAGAGCTGCAGGAGGTAAGTGGTTGGAGGATGTAGTTCACTTTTCACATTAAAACGTCGTGTTCTATGAGTACTAATATTTCCTGGAATGCGCTGTCCCTGCTGCCAAATTCAGACTGCTACTTAATTTTTCCCTTAAAGAAAACTGGTTGTAGAGTCATGAATATTTAACTGGAAGTTGATTGTTTGTTTGTTTGATTTTCCTCTTATTCACCAAGGCTGTTCAAAAAGGGTCCATAAAGTGCAATTTCATGGGGACTGCTCTTGGAGACTCATGGATTTCTCCTTTGGGTACGTTTAAAATCCTCAGAGTGTGGGTGGTTTGCTGTTGTTTTGTTGTTTTAATCATTCCATGGGTAGCTAGACTCAGAAATGCCAGGCCTGCCTTAAGTGAATTAAATCTCTAGTGAGCCTTGGTAAATCAGAAAGAAATGCTTTGACATTGCAAGCTGTGATTGAAG